ATAATCCTTGTGCTGGCCAAAAGCAAGTGGATTCTGTTGCTGGCATATTTACACCCCCAAAAAAAAGGCAAAAATGTGGATTTGGAGGATAGTGATCTTACCATCTTCATTTGGCTTTTGTTATTGATCAATTTCATTTGAAGTTATTAATTCAACTCATTTAAGTTGACACTCTAGGGTTTTCTAAATATATCATCATATTCTGTGCAATTTCTTGTTCTTGTCTTATTTCTATAGTTAGTATTTCTAGAATTATGTTAAATAATAGTGGGGACAATGAGTGTCTTTGCTTTACCCTAGATCTTATTGGAAAGATTTCTGATTTTTTCTTTTATATAAAACTTTTTTTGTTATATAAAATGATTACTCTTGGGACAGCTGGATGGCACAGTGGATACCTGAATTCAAACCTGGCCTCAGACCCTTGACACTCACTAGCTGTGTGACCCGGGCAAGTCACTTAACCCCATTGCCTAGTCAAAAAATGATTACTCTTGGGTTTAGATAAATACTTTCTACTATATTAAGGACAAATCTATTTATTCCCATTATTCCCAGAGTTTTCAATTGAAACAGGTGTTGGAATTCATTGAAAGTTTTTTTTCAGCAATTATTGTTATAATCATATGGTTATTATTTAAATTATTAACCTGGTTCATTATATGTATAGTCTTTCTGATAATGAACCAACTCTTCATTCCTGAAATAACATAAACCCAATATAATCATATTGCATAATTTTGCTAATATGTTGTTATCTATTTGCTAATATTTTATTTAAAATCTTTGCATCAATGTTCATTGGGGATATTGGTCTGTGGTTTTCTTTCTCTGCTTCTTCCCTCTCTCATTTAGAAATTGGAAAGATACTTTTTTATTATTGCAGTTTATGTAATGCTGGAACCCACTGTTCTTTGAATATCTGATAGAATTCACTTGCAAATTCTTCTGGTCCTAGAGGATTTTTTTTCTTTGTTCATTTACATGTGACTATAAATGCTCTATCTCGTCTTTTATAAATCAGGGTATTTTATATTTTTGTAAGTATCTATTTCAAGTTTCCAGTTTTATTAGTCTAAAAGTGTACAAAATAGATTGTGACAATGTGCTTTATTTCTTCTTCAATTTCTATAAATTCTCCTTTTTCATTTTTTGATATCAACAGTTTGGTTTCCTTCTTTCTTTTGTATAATTTGGTAACTAACTTTATTTTATTAGATTTTTGAGAGTAACTTCTGGTTTTATTTATCCATTCAGTAGTGTTTTGTTTTGAGTTTTATTAACCTCTTCTTAAATTTTCATAATTTTTCTTTGTTATTCAGTTTGGAATTCTTAGCTTGTTGTTCAAATGTGTTTTTTTCCTTGATTACACACAGCTAATATGGAAATGGGTTTTGAATGACCTCACAAAGATAATAGACATCATTGCTTGCCTTCTCAAGGAGTAAGGGAGAGTCTGGCGAGAGAGAATTTGGAACTCTAAATCTTAAAAAATGAATGTTAACAAATTTTAATGTAATTGGGGAATATTTAATGAAATAAATAAAAATATGTTTAAAAAAGTGGTTGCAGAAACAAGCTCATTGACCATGAGAGTAGCAGAGATGCACAGTTCAGAGCATCAAAGATCCCTAGCTATGGGTTTTTTTCATCTGTGCAGAACCTCAGAATACCTTAGACCTGGAGTAGATTTTTGGGAGGCTCATGTGTAAAGGAGTGTCTAAATACTACATTATAAACATTTATTTGTATTTCAAAAGTTATTGTTTTTCCACAAATAATAAATATTTAGTGTATATTTCATGATAGGAATGGAGCATGGACCTGTGATTTCAGTGTTATAGACAACTATCAGATGAGGAAACTCTTTGTCAATGAAGATCAGCACATTCTCTATAACTTCAGAAGCTTCTCTTCAAAGACAAACAACAACAATCTTAAAATGTCTTCTAGAATATTAAGAGGTAAAATGGCCTGTTCTGGATTACATAGCCAATGTGGGCCAAAGGCTGGATTTGAACTTAAGTTTTCCCGACTCCAAGACAAACTTTCTACTTTCTATGTCAGTCTAACTTGCTATGTTTTATAGTCTTTCTATTCAATTACACATTCTTGAGATGAATAGACAATACTCTGAAGAACTAGGTAAAACAAAATTCCTACCTAAAATCTGAAGAGCCTAGTTAAGGGTTGTTTCACATTTCAAAAACATTGACAAAAAGCGATGGTTAATACTTCAGTAAATTGAAGGGGTAGGGTCTGTCAAGGAGCCTGAGTCCTAATTGGAATTAGCTAGTTGTCAGGGGAAAACTAGGTGTCTGAGACACAAACACATTTTCAAAGGGGCTCAAGTAGGCATTTTTGTGGGATAGGACACATACCTGAGGGATTATATGAGGCTACTAGGGCTAAAAAGGTGTAAATCCACTTAAGCTCAGTGTCTGCTGAGTTTGATGTTGGATCACAAAAAGTGGGGCCCTATAACCAAATCACCTGGGAGAAGGATTATTCAGTTTGAACAGCTGTCTTTTTGCATTTCTAGTTCTGATAATGGAAAGGCTGAATCCTTCCTATTATGCATGAAAGTGTTCCTTACCCAAGACTATATCTGGACCACCAAGCACAGACATTGTGTATAGCTGAGAAAATGACATACTTTATCTCTGATAGAACATGAATTGTGAGCAAATTCCTTTCTTGTCTTCCAAGTCACAAATCTCTAGTTCTTAATTACATAGTTATATGGGTTCCCTCCTCTGATTGTTGTTGTTCAGTCATTTTCAGTCATGTCTGACTCTCTGTGACCTCATTTGGGGTTTTCTTAGCAAAGATACTGGAGTGGTTTGCCATTTCCTTCTATAGTTCATTTTACAGATGAGGAAACTGAAGCAACCTGGGTTAAGTGATTTGCCTAGGCTCACACAACTAGTAGTATCTGAGGTCAAATTTGAACACAGGAAAGTGAATCTTCCTGATTTCAGGCCCAGCACTTTATCCACTGAGCCACCTAGCTGATTGTTCTGCCTATCCCTTTAAGATATGAAAGCTGGAACAGGCAACTCCACCATGCTAGAAAACAAAAAGAACATAGCAAAGTGTCTTTTAGTTTCTAGAGTCAATTAGGTGGTTCAGTGGATAGAGAGCTGAGCATGAAATCAGGAAGATCTGAGTTCAAATCCAGCCTCAGACAATTACTATCTGAGTGACCCTGGGCAAGTCACTTACTCTTTGTTTACCACAGTTTCCTTAACTGTAAAATGGGGATAACAATAGCATCTCATAGAGTTATTGGGAGGAACAAATGAAACAGTATCTACAAAGTACTTAGCATAGTGCCTGGTACATAATAGTAGGTGCTATATAAATGTTAGCCATTATTATTAGCTCTGAACTCACAACTAATATGGTTTTCCCAATCTTCTGACTTGTTCCAATGCTTTGGTTTTAAATCACCCCCACTCTTGTGTGTCCACTCCTGGGCATTCCACATAGTCTCAGTGCCACACCTCTATAGCTTCTGCTTCTGATGTCTCCTTGGTACAGTGATTCTGTTCTATGACTCTAGTTTGCACACATTCTGGTTTCAATGACCAGTTCCCTCCCTAGATAGCAAATAGGATAATCTAGCCATTAACTCTGGCCTGATCAATACTAGTTGACTGGACATGACAAGCAAAATCCAATTTTTCCCACTACCTCTATAATATAGAGTTCTGATGACTGTTTTGCATATCATAAGCAGTCTCAAAGTACCAGAGATCTGGAAATGCCATAGACACTCTTGGTTCATTCTTTTTGGGTTTTTTTGGTTTGTTTGTTTGTTTTGCAAGACAGTTGGGGTTAAGTGACTTGCCCAGAGTCACACAGCTAGTAAGTGTTCTGTATCTGAGGCTGGATTTGAATTCAGATCCTCCTGACTCCAGCGCCGGTGCTCTATTCACTGTGCCACATAACTGCTCCTTGGTTCACTCCTGCAAGTGTGTTAATAATTACACTGCATGGCTTATTTTGGCACACCCAGGGTTTCTTTTAGGAACAAATGAATTTGGCCCAATTCTAGTACTCATCTAGGTATTCTCAGTTCTTTTGAAAACACCCAGACAAAAACAAACAACAACAACAACAAAAAGCATAGAGTATAGAACAAGTTTGTTTCACATAATGAAAAATACTGAAAAGACTTTCACTCAAGCTAATAATAATAATAATAATAGTAATAGCTAACATTTATTTGATGCCTACCATTTGCCTGGCACTATGCTAAGGGCTTTACAATTACTTCCTCATTTGATCCTCATAACAATCCTGAAGGGTAGGTGCTATTGTTATCCTCATTTTACAGATGAGGAAACTGAGCAAACAGGGTTAAGTGTCTTGCTTGGGGTCACACAGGTTGTACATATTTGAGACTGGGTTTGAATTCCAGTCTTTCCAAATGCAAGCTCAGTGTTCTATCTGATACAGCAGCTGGCTGTCCCAATATACAGGCAAAACAACCAAATGAAAATCAAAACCTTCTTGGGATTCCCACCTTATTCATCTGAGCCTAGAAATACTGGCCACTCTGCTCTGCACTCTGCTTGGCATCAGCTGCCATTTGCTTCCCCTTTCTCAGGTAAATGTTGCACTGAAGAGGATAAGGGTCAATATTCCACTAGGCTAATATCTTTAGCCCTTTGTCAGGCCCTGCTGATGTCACACAAAACGATCCCTTAAGCAGATATGAAGCTTACCTAAAGCTTACCTTAGCTCATTTATAAGAAGTTCTCCAGCCCACACTCCCAACAGACTTAAAACAAGTCAGTTCTACGCACTCTTCCCTTCTTTGTGGCACAGGCAGTGTGCCGCCTCACCGTCAATACCCACAATCCTCCTTTTTTCCAGTCTTTTTTTAAGGATGGAAAGAAACGTTTGCACCCCTTTCCATCTGCATTTCCAATTCCCTCTGTTCCCCCTCCACCTCTCCTCCTCCCACTGACTGGAAATTACCTTGAGGCGTGGAAAAGACTTAGGATGGCACAAGGCACACTGGAAGAAGAAGGGTAGATCTGGCAGCTTCTGTCTACAATCCAGCCACAGCAGCAAACATTCATGCCCCTGTTAAAATAATAACAGTGCTTGTAATAGAGCTGATTACCAAAAGAAAAAAGTCTCTATGATGAATAATCCAGTACAGCAAAAGGGTTTTCCAGCTTCTGCCTATGCAGCAGTCCTTGATGAGGAATACTCCTCATTGTGGACAGCTAATTCTGCAGGAAAGGAGGGAGATTATTATCTTCACAGCCACTGAGCAGCAATTATTCTTCACTTTTCATCCTCTTCCTGACTTAAAATGTACCAGCCATCTTTGATAGAAAATCTCCCCTCTGGAGCCTTCTGAAGTTGAATGGTAATATAAAAACGAGGAGTGTCTTGAAGGAGGAATGAGATGGGGTTGTTGTTCAGTCATATCTGACTTTTTGTGATGCCATTTGGTGTTTTCTTGGCAAAGACATTTTGTTTGTTTGTTTGCTGTTTTCTTCTCTACTGTGTCCCCATTTTACAGATGAGGAACTAAGACAAATAGAGGTTGTGACTTGCTCTGGACACATAGCTAATAAGTGTCTGAGGTTGGATTTGAATTCAGGTCCTCCTAGTTCCAGAATCAGAACTCTTATCTATTGCACCACCTAGCTATAGGATAGGGATGGAGGCACATAAAGGAAACCTTTCAGCTTATTATGTTAAGAATGTTTCACTTGTTAGCATACACACAAAGGTCCTGGAGACGCATCAGCTTTCACTCCTGCTGGTTGAGAATATGATTTGTAGTTAATGTGATCGATCACTATTACTGGATTACTGGAAGGCAGGGGTCAGCCAACTAGAGCCTGAGAATAAAATCCTGCCCAGAGCTTTAGTGAGACCCATGAGCTCAGAATGATTTTTATATTTTTGAATAAAAAAAAATTTTATTTTAAAATGTAAAAATGAAAAGTATGAACTCACTGGGCTGTGCAAAAATAGGTGATAGGGAAGATAGGGGCAACTAGGTGGTGCAGGGGATAGAGCACTTGACTTGTAATCAGGAAAAGGCATCTTTGTGAGTTCAAATTACTATGTGACCCCTGGGCAAGTCATTTCCCCATTTGCCTCAGTTCCTCATTTGTAAAATGAGTTAGTGAAGGAAATGGCAAACCGCTCCAGTATCTCTTTCAAGGGTCATGGAGAGTAGGACATGACTATAACTACTGAACAACAACAACAAACAACAACAACAACATGGCAGATCTGACTGGGCTTAGAAGTAGGTCATAGACTCCTGCACTAAGGCAAAAGACTTGATATGACCCATTATATTTTACCTGTCTCTCCATACATTGGAATTCCTTTATACAAAGGAATATTTAATTCCAAAGGTATGATCACAAATAAACAAACTTGTTCCCCTCACAAATGGGAAGCATAATCCTCCTCATCTCTCTTGTACTACCTCAGTCTCTGGGGAGGAGGATTCCATTCATATCTTAGCTCAGTTCCCAAAGAACATGGTCCTAGTTCCATGTCAAAAATCAACCTCAGGCTCCAGTCCAGGCACCTTGGATTCTCAGGTCTTCACCATCCCTCCTACAATCCTGGCTTCAAGGTTGCCATGGCTCAAACTCCTAGTCTCATAAGGAATACCACCAGCATCTGAAACTGAGGACAAACAACACAGAACAGAAATAAACATAAGTAAGCCCATTTCTCAGAACTAAGGTAAAAGAGACATAAGCAGTCATTGATTCAGTTCATGGATCCACTCTGGGTGCAGAAGGAAAAGATGGTAGAAAGGAGAGATGTAGCTGAAAAGGGAGTGAATGGTTCAACCTCTCCAGGTTTAAAGTCTCAAGCAACCAATCAAAGGAAGCTACCCATACTCACATGGGAGCGGACACAATGGGCTCCATGCTAGACAAATCAGCCATGCTCAAAAGGCTCCTCAAGGGCAACTCCATGTTAGAACTGGGCATGCCCAGAGAAGCCCAGGTTATACAAGGATAACTGGAGTAAATTTTTCCAAGACCAAAAAGCAAGGGAAAAAAGAATAACAGGTGACCATACGGAGACTCTGAGCACCAAACCACTCTCAGTATCCGTACAAAGAGCATGAATGTGTTCAGGCAATAGCAACAAAACCTGTGTTCACCATTGGTAACCATGCTGTGTTAAGAGATCTAGAAAAAGGTCCCCATAATTGGGTGGACCAACTGTGGAAAATTAATGGAAGGATATAGGCAGGCATTGCATTTGATAAAAAGATAAAGATGAGCTATGATATGTACAACAGGAAGAAATTCCCACATAGATGAGATTACAGATCCATCCTTGAAGTAGTAAGGATGAATTCTCAAGGTACACTAATTAATTAGGAAATGGCTAAACAAATTTCATTATATGGATTGATGGAATAATATTGTGTTGTAAGAAATGACAAAGGAGATGATTTCAGAGAAATCTAGGAAGACATTAACTAATGCAGAGAGAAGTGAGCTGAATCAAAATAATACATAAAATAATATTGTAAGAACATACAACTTTGAAAGATTTAAGAACTCTGCTCAATGCAATGACTAGCCATGATTCCAGAGGGCCAGTGATAAAGAACACATCCTGACAGAGAGGTGATGGACTCAAGGTATAGGAAAAGACATAAATTTTTGAAAGTGGTCAAGGTATGCATTTGTTTTGCTTGACCGTGTATATTTATGATAAGGTGGAAGGCAAAAGTGGGAGAGTCAATAAATTCTTGTTAATTGATTTTTTAATTAAAAAAATAATGCCCACCCCTAGATATTTGTTAGCTCTTCCCAAGCCATATATCTGTACCTTGGGTTGCTGCTGCTGAGTAAACAGCAAGGCCTAAAATTTTCCTCACAGTTCCACATAAAAGGAGCAAAAATAAGAATCACTTGAACTGAGTTGAACTTTATTTTACTCATTGCCTCCTTCAATTAAACTGTGAGCTTCTTTGAGAAGAGAAATCGTCCTTTTTTTTTCTATGTGTCCCCCATGCACTTAGTACAGTGTATAGCACATAGCACACAGTGCTTAATAAATGCTTTTTCATTCATTCAAATAGTTAAAAGAACAAAGTCTTGTTCTTGAACTCATTTCTCTCTTGTGCTTATTTGGTTTCCTTGAAAAGGAGATGGAAGTTTCTTTACAAAGTTTTGGGAGGATGGGACCATAAATAGGGAATATTGCATATATTTTTGCTGAACTATTTTTATTTTGTCTTTATTATCTTTGACAAAAGAAATGGTTCTCTGTATAGAGGGGAGATACTCAGACATATAAAAGAAAGACATTAATTCTTACAATCCTTGCAAGGGTAGAGGAAATTATTTTTTGTAATTTTCATCTACTAAATGTTAATTTTGTCCTCATTTCTTTTGATAGAGAGGATTCTCAGTATTAAAATGTTTTTCTCGTTTTTTTTTTTTAAGATTTAAATAAGTCATGATACGTGGTAGCTGAAACAATTCAATGAGAGCATTAAATGTCTGAGGAGGAAGAATACAGACCCCACCTGAATTGTAATAAAAGTAGAAACATACTCAATTCACGGTAGCTTCTTGTATAAGAACACAAATTCTAAAATTAAAATGCTCAGGACATTGTGGGTCCTGAGTACTTCCTAGACATTATATGTGTGTACATATGTATATAAACACATATATGTGTGTATATATATATGCATGCATATGTCTGTATGTGTATGGGTTTGTATATGTATATATGTGTGTATATACATGTATACATGTACACACTGGTATACATATGTGTGTAATATACGTATTCACACTATGCAGTTCAAAAAGTAGAATACCTTGTTCTTACACATTTCATACAATTGAGAGAACAGAGTTCATACCCTGCAAATCCATGTGGAAGGTACAAACAATAAATACCTTTAAACATGCTTAAACAAAGCCATTCCCAATCAAGGTTCATATGTGAGTTTACTGAAATGAAAATAAGGAGTAGATTGAGCTTTCTGGGAAAATTTGCATAATGTTTACTAGGTTGTCAATAGCTTGAAGCAAGAAGATGAACCTCATCAGGTCCTTCTCTCTTTCCAAAGAAAGGCAGCTCCCGTGCTACCCAAACTGTTTTGTAGCGAGAACAAATGAATTTGGGGAGCAGGTGGGTATCAGGAGAAACCCCTAAACAGATTCCCTGGGACCTTGCCTCTTTTCACTGCAATGTAGGGGTTCAGACTAAGAATAAGTTCCTCTAATCTTCTCAATCTTTTCCCACTTTTCCTTTCATCTCATTTCCAGGACATCTATTATCTGGTTCAAAATATATTCACTTTAATTTTGGTGGAGTTGGCTTCTAGTGTATTTGGTTTTTTTTTTTCTATTCTTGAGTCTTCTTTTCTTCTGTCACAGCTTATCCAAAGTCTCCTCCTCATTCAATACTTAAAATTATTATATTTACTTCCTTGGATTTCCATGACTATTTTTCCCAAACCAACTATTATTCAATTTATTCAGAAGGAAGAGATGGAAAAGCATGGATTTTACCTGAGTCACCCAGATAATTGAGGAGAAAATGTCATTTTCATGGTAAAAATCTTCCATGTTGGCTGCTTGTGCTGCCAGTGTCCCTTATAAACAGGACTTTGAATTTTACTCCATTGATTAAAACCACAGGAATATATTAACATAGAAATTGCCACTCTGGGCCAGGCCTTTGGTCCAATTGGCCCAATGTGCTATTGTCAATGAAATATGAATGGTTATACAAACATGGGGAAAGGATTGGAGATTGGGCAACGGATAAACACTCATGAAATAGACAGAGAAGCATTGGACCCACATGTAGGGGATTCTGGTGTAGAAATATATCAAACTGAACAGGGAATAAAGCAGGAATGGGTGGGGTTAACAAGGAATAGCCACAAGCAGATTAAACACCCTGATCCTAAAAGGGGAGAGTGGGTATTAAGAGGAAAAAAGAAAAGAATTAGAATGTAAAGAAGTATCCATCAGTTGGGCAATTGCTGAATAAATAGTAGTAAATGAATGTAATAGGATATTGTTATGCCTTAAAAAGCATGGAAAGACTAA